TCAATAAATGATGCACTTGTACCAGACGCCTCTCAGTTCAGTCTAATTGGTTGATCGCCGAAGGGGGTGTGACGCTTGGCTTGGACTTCAAAGGTTATTTCCCAGAACGGTCTCAATTTGCATAGATGGACTTGAAGTTCTTAGAATCGGCTGAGCACCATCAACATCTGCAATAGAATTTCGTCCAAAAAGCCAAACGTGACACTACCTCTACAAATGCGTGCGTCAAGTAGGTACTAGGGTTTCAGAATATGCGGACATTTCGAAGCGAAACTCCGACCTGTAGTAAATCATTGACGTTATGTTACTTAACCCGCGCCCGGCTGGGGGTCCTGGATTTCCACGCCCTGCTGGGGGGGGGGGTGTTTGAACACCCCCCTTCTAACTCGGCTCCTGGGCCACGTAGCGATACGGGAAGGCGGCGTTCGAAAAGAGCGTCAAAAATAATGACGAAATCACTTCGGTCAATTTTTGGTCAGGTCAAAGGTCAGGTCACCAGAGGTCATTGAAGGCAAAATTTCGCCGATTTCCAGGTCGAATGTCGAAAATTTCCAAGAAGCCAACGCACCTCGGGAACCAATAGAGTACAGCGCCGCGGAAAATCGCATTCGATAGCCCTATTACGCCCTTTATGAGTAATTCTCTAGTTGACTAACGTCAACGGTTTTGCCTGCAGGGGGCAAAAACTGCAAAAATAGCCGATTTTTCGGAAAACAGTTTTTGCTGCAATAACTTTTGACCCAAGCCTTGTACGAGCTTACTTTACCGGCATCGTGTTCCTTCGTCAAGGACGCATCGAATGAACTATAACTTGACCTTGAAAGGTCAACTTGAAAATTTGACTCAGGTCAAGGTCATGACCTGACGGAAAGGGTCATGTGCATATCAGTAGATACGTATCGTCGAGCTGAACACATATAAGGTGTTTTCATCGCTCTAGCATGCCTCTATCAAAAGTTATTGCGAAAAATGTTAGATACCATTCGTGACCTAAGATGACCTCAGGGCATAAACAGGGGTCACGGACACCATTTTCATGTTCAGTGTGTCTAAACCACTTGTAATTCAGTGTTTGGGAGTGTTTATAATGTCTTTCGTCCAAAAGAGACGCATTTCAATTTTCTCCATTGACTTATAATGGGGAGGTCGCAAAATTGACTGACCTTAGGTCATCGATATCAAAATTCTGAGATATACATTTTGTACATGCTATTGCTTAGCAATCGCTGAAAGTTGCAAAGCGATCGGTCACCGGTGTTTAGCTAATGACAGACATTGAAACTTTTATGAGTGAGGTGAGGTCACTTCAAGTGACTGGGAGACCTTGAATGACCTTGGTCTGAAATTTTCACAACATGTGTAGAATTGATGCTGATAAGGGTGTACCAAAAACGGCGGCGCTCCGCGCCGCCTTTTTTGAGATATTCGCGAAAAACCACAAGGGGGGGGGTGTTCAAAAACCCCCCCCAGAGGGCGCGGGTTAATACTTTGCTGCCCAAAACATCTCAAGACAAATACATTGCGGTCATATATTACTGCAAAAAAAGACATACAGGTTAAAATACAATCTGCAGCCACAATGCCGAGGAGGGACAACTGACACCATCGCACCAGGGACACGGGGCGCGGCAGCTCGCAACATTGACAGCCGCACCGCAGTGACGGTCGTGCAGTGATGACTGATGATGATCCCAGCCCAACCAGCTGTCCGTCACAGTTTGTCCAAGCCCAGCCCGTCGCCGCTCAGAGATCGTCGTCCGAGTCGCCTGCCGAGCCGCTGTCCTCCTGCGCGTCGCTGTCCTGGTCCCAGTCCTTGTGGCCGGCTCGGGCAGGTAGTCGTCACGCAGCACAACTCCACGTGGCCCGGTCACCGACTCAGCCGACTGAGGACACACGGAGGGATGCAGTGAGTCAACAGGGCCTCAGCGGCCGCCGTTACAGTATTGCAACCAAGAAATACTTGATCATGTAATTGTTCTGCCATGTCTTGTCATGATACTATGTCGTTTTAAGCGCTAGCTGATGTCCTTAAATAGTCCCACATAATATTATTGACAATACAGTTTGCATTAAGGTCGACAAAGTAAAACAACAATGCAACGGAAATCCTGTGAGTGTATCGAAGCCTCATGCAGCATAGCAGGCGCCACCAATTACTCCGAAGTGTGCCGTGTCGTGTCCACCTGTTCTGCCGGCTCGGCATCGGCGCCATCCGGAGCCGGTCCATGAACGTCTGCTTGCTGACCGCCTTCAGGGCCTTCTCAGTCTTCCTCAGGGAGCCGCGGCTCCTTCAGCTGGCTTGCACCTCGGCCTGCTGATTCCTGACGGCGTTAAACAGCTGCACCGCCACTGGCGGATCGGAGAACGGTGATGTGTTGAGTCATCAGCACCCGTGGGCGGACCGTGGTGGGAAGAGCGTACCACCGGAGGGGTGTTCACGGGCACCGCACACTGCTGCGTGCGGTGTGTGCGGTGGCCCGCTGCGTCCAGCAGGCGTGGGGGTAGGGGATGGGTAGGCGGCTCTGACGTCACGGCTGCGTGCGGTGGACGGTCCGCTGTGGCCAGTCCCGACCGGCCACAGCGGTCGCTGTGTGCGGTGACGGAATGCTGACGTAGGGACGCAGTGGGCGGAGCTTGGAGGCTGTGTGCGGTACGACCGCACACAGGGCCCGTGAACAGCCCTCTGTTCATCCGGGCTAAATTGGGGGTAGCGTGGGTCGTGTAGAATAGGGCTGAGCGCAGGATTTCAAGGATGTCAAAGAATTAACACCACAAAAATAGTAAGAAAATTATTTCGAACAAATCAGCAAGCTCAGCTCACGTACAATTTTCTACTAATTCAATATTCAATACAAAATGAAATAACCCATTTTTTTGCATTAAAGGTAGTGTGCCACCTTTAAAAGATTTTCCATTTTATTTTTCCTAGGATAAGAAGCTTCTGTTTTTACCTAATATCGCAAAAAAATCAAAATGGGCCTGGAATAGTGCCTTTTTTCGCCTAAAAGTTTATCGGTTTTTCGATATGTATAACAACTGTAGTGGACTGAGCTGCAAACAGGCGTCGGCAACAATCGCGAATGCGGCGCACATGTGACAATAAGCAAAGGTCATTATAGAGTTACGACGTACGGGAATGAGTTATCAGCTGTCTAATCGTAGACAACACAATGTCGAGCCTTAAACTGTAAGCCTGTATTGGTATTGTTTCTTTTATTTGGCTGTCGAACATTATTTATGGTTTGAAATATGATTTTATGTAAAATAATTGATATGAAAAAGCCGTCTCTTAAGTTATGACCCCATTTCACCACACACAAGTGGCAGAAATGACAATGATCAGCTGACGCATTTTCTTGGCCGAAGTCAGAGCGCGCGGCCCGACGCACCACCACCGCACCACAAAGTATGAGCAGAAGCCGCGCCCAAAGCCAGGGCCCCGGTAACGTGAGGTAGCCGAGTCGGGGCAGCGTGCGCTGACCCAAGCCGGGCCGCAGCTTTGGGCGCGGTCTACCGCATCCCCGCGGGCAGCCCCGGGCTATCACATGACACCGGGAGGACGCGCGGCCCCGGCTTGGGTCAGCGCACGCTGCCCCGACTCGGCTACCTCACGTTACCGGGGCCCTGGCTTTGGGCGCGGTCTACCGCACCACCTAACAGGCGTGTTCGAAACCGCAGGAGATGATGATGAACGGGTTTATCGAAACTTGATTGGATGAGCATATCGGTAATAGCGATTTCAGTGTGTGCATTTATTGTTCATAGTGGTGTGAAATGTGGTTGGGGTACGACCGACAACCCGTCGGGGCGAATTTCGCACTGGGGTACTCAAAATTTGAAGAATTTAAGACGTTTCCATGAGTTTTGAAGGTAGGGGAAAGTGGGGTAAGACGGTCAGGGTAGGTAAGACGGGCACCCCTTCTGCAGACCAAACCAATAGCGCTACGAGCAAGAAAAGTTAGGACCAGAATTGCCTTTCCCACTACACACCACCATTCAAGTCTGGTGAATTTGTGTTCAGTTCGATAATCTTTTATTTTGATTTCTTTAAAACACTCATTTCATTGAAAACATCCATAATGTATTGTGCAAGCTTTTGTGTACAGCACTATAGAGTTAAAAACTCGCAATCACTTGTGGTACACTCATATGCCAACAGTGTTCATTTACGGCGGATTTGCTTTGTCTGCATCAAATTGTCCACAGCGAAAAATCGTGCTGAACTTCTGACATTGAGTTTGGGGTAAGACGGGCAACTATGAACCCAATGGGTCTGTAATGGTGAAAATATTTTTGTTGCTGTAGGAAAAAAGAAGCATTTCTAATAAGAATATGTTCGATTCCGATACTCACAGACATGTTAGCAATATTCCTTCGGCACAGTTTATTCTCGAATAATGAATGTGAAAAACGGTTCTACATGGCTTCTGAACTAGGGCCTATATAGGAGCATACGCCTTCTGCACGAATCTCGTATACTGCCATTTCCGAAGCACTTGAGACCAACGAGCGACTGTATAAATGCGGCTAATCTCGGGCATTTGTTGCGAGCTGCGCTGATCGGTGAAAGAAGCTGGCCGTCTTGCCCTACCCATGTGACCGTCTTACCCCATGGGGTGGGGTAAGACGGGTTTTTGCAAGGTTTTGCAAAAATAGCTGCAGTTTATTTGTTGAATCAGGTCTAAGTCTCATCTTCTGGCAAATGAAAGTAAAATGTCTGAAAAAGGTTTTCACCCAGTTTCCCGTTTCTATGATGTTTCTAACCGGCCGAAAAATGGCTCCAAAGTTAAGGTGCCCGTCTTACCCCACTTTCCCCTATGGATAAGTTCTAAAAATCCGGTTCTCCTTATCTGGGCCATTAACTCCATACGGTCCAGGAAAGCTGGCACACTACCTTTAACGATTTTTTTTTGTTTTCCACACGCCCAGATCTACGGTTTACAAATAAAATTTAATGACGTAATCATGCATGGACGTTACAATGCATATTACTGCTTTGCAGAGCGCAGTGCTATTGCTTACTTACCGTGTTGCTATTTTGCACAAGGTTCTTTCTCGATCTTTTTCTCGAATGTCTGGCTTCTTTCGTCCCATCATTTCCCATTCTCTGAGCTGAAAAATACGTGGTGTTACACGCAGCATATCAAAGATAATTCGATTCGATAAGCCAACAAACACTTAATAAAAGCTCTATGTCCTTGCATTTCAGATGCCATTCTCTACGTGTGAGGCTTGCGCGAATTAAAAAAAAAACTAGCTGAGCTTCCATTTTAATTTAAATCAATCGGCGATGAACGAATACTATTTTACTTACCTTTTTCCGCTTTTCAACCAATTCTTTACGTTTCGCCGCATGCGACCTGGCAGTCTTTCGCTTCTTCTTCTCAATCGGCGCTGCCTCCGCGCCTTCTACATCGAAGCCCGGATCGGAGGCTTCCTCTTCTGGTTCGTCCTCTGCATCATCCTTTGGTAACGCTTTTTTGGCCTTTGAGAGGATGACATACTTCTTTTTCGGCGCTGGTGCACTTAGGAGCCGGGACATGACGTCCGCCCAACCCTCATTGCCTTCTGCTGGTGCAGAGGTGGCGACGTCTTCAACTTCCTCCATGTCTGAAGATGCGTCTGTCAAACATAATAGGCATATTTCGTCGATTAATCTGAAAACGAACGCATCGATGATGTTTTCTAGTGCATATCGTATTCATATTGATAGTCAGAAATGACAAATGACAGGGCTATTAAAATGATTTCTTCGTGCTACATTGAATAACAGCTCATTCTTCGAAGATCACAAAGTTAACGAGCATAGCATCCAACATAGAGTCGTCACTGAAGTCGGTTCTCAAAGCCAAAGCTGGGGCCACGCCAGTCGCAAACAGCGCTGGCTGCTTCCAACATCGGACGCTCACGTCAACCGTCATTGCCCGTCCCGTGCTTCCTAGGGAGACCGAAGACACATGCACGAATTATGGACACGAAACGAAGCGAGTTTTTACAGCAGTATTTCAATTTATGACCATTACGACGATCGGGCGACGTCTCACTCATTCCATATTTTCAAATACGAATTTACCATACCTTTGCTGTGATAACTGATGAGCCCGAGTGATGCCTACCAGACCATTATAAAGATTACCAGGAGCCACCAGGGATGACATGCTCAGAGCTAGGGCAAGAATATTTATTTGGAGCCATTGAATTCAAACATTCTATGAACCTGCATACAGTCGTGAGTCACTGCCCACCTCTGTGATGATAACATGCCATGACCTTAAATAGATTGTTATTTGTTTGATGAAGGAGCAGTTGAATATGGTAAATCAGACCTATTTGGGCAGATCCATCCATAAATATGCATCCCAATAAGCTTATGAAATGACACTAACGCAACATCAGTAGCTATGAAACGTAAACCTACTCCCAGCAGACCCAAACCATAAGAAGCTGCTACAGGTTTAAGCACAGTGAATAATAAATACCACATTCCTGAAAAGCAAGTGTACTTCATCAAGTGTACTTCATCAAGTGTACTTCATCAAGTGTACTTCATCAAGTGTACTAAAAGCAAGTGCATCTTCATCTATCTAGAGTGGGTGATTCTTACTTGTTTTAACATACCTTCAGAATGTGCAGCACCAGAATCCATCGCCTGCTCATGCTCGCCTACCTCCACCACCATGACTTCGACTGGTATTGGTATCTTGATCTGGGGTTAATAATAATGCCTGTTGAACCCTGGAAGATGATCACAATTCTGAAGACAACACTTTATTTCAATATTAATATGCAATATCATTTTCAACAAAGTCTGGTGATTTAAAGCCTAGTTGTAGTGCAAGTCAAAGTCAGTTGGGCAAACTAGACCTTTGGAATCAAAATATGGAGGCATCAAAAGATTGATTCCTTTTGGGCATAAATGCAGACCATTTCTAACTTACCAATCACATAAAAATAAGAGAGTGTTTCAAGAAGGAGCATGCCTGATCTTGAACAGAAATGCTTGAACTATCTCCTAAGCAAAATAATATTGCTCCTATCATAACAATTTGAATTCTATAGGTAGTGAAAGGCAATCAAGGAATTGATTCACTTTAAACAGATAATCATAATATTGATTCCCCATCAGCTGGCTAATCATTATTTTGATTCACAGGTAATGTTAACAGATAGGCAACAATGACTTGCAAGAATACAGCATTTATCTTGCTATTATTCTCATTTAGTGGTATCCTCAGCACCACAACTAATACCTATAGCATTGTTGTAGGGGAGAGTGGGGTAAGATGCCCAGGGTGGGAAAGACGCCCTACCCCCTCTAGCGGCGAAACAAAGAATCGAACCTGGAAATAAATGTTCTTAGCGTAAAGCGGAAGCCTGCCTTGTTAACTGCACAAAAATTTGCGAGGCTCAGTTGGGCAACGGCTGGCTGGTGATTGCATGTTTTTTATTTGCTGCTTTCAAAAAAATATTTTGGTGTCAAAACATTGTAAATATCAAAGAAGGTAGATAATTTTTGCGTCCCGTGCCATAGTCGTGATAAATTAACATGCGTGTACTGTGTCCCAAACAGTTTGTTTCAGGGTGTAGTTTTATGGCTAACAAATTGTACTGATTTAATGTTACCTCGGTACCTTGGGGTAAGATGCCCCCTGTCCTGATGGGGAAAGACGCCCCCCTAAATCCGTAGGCTGTCCTTCAAGCAGCCTGTCAAATCATTTATTACATACCTGTGATGAGAGCACAGGGGAGCAATGCCGCTTCAACCCTATTGGCCGTAGTGTCTAACGGTGGCGGCCATATTGCGCAGACCAGAAACCGGCTGCCGCCTGTGTTGAGGAATAGGGAATTCGGGACCTCGATTTACGTTTGCGGACGCCGTATCCGTTACGTTCAAGTTACGTAGATACGGAACCCGGCGTCTTACGCAGAATTGAGTGGGGAACACGATCGTATCTTCAGAATTCCTCAAATTCACTCGCCTGACCTACATTTGCCCCGGCCGAGGGGGTTGATTGAACCCACCTCGCTAATGCACCGCTAATTAAACTAGAATTAAGCGGTAAAGTGGTCGTATGCGGCAAAGTATAATGCAGAGTGACTGGTAGAAACCCGCTGTAAGGGTCTCAGGTCAACCGGTGACCTCTGAGGTCAGGTCAAGTGATCTAAGGCACGGGTTCGGTTTTTGGTAAATAACTTCGCCAAAAATGGCCGTAGAGCCGCGATTTTGGCACCATCGTTTTCAGCTAGCTCAGGCGCATCGAGTGATATACTTTTTGTTCGGGTCAGGTCAACTTAGGGTGTTGACCTCAGGTCAAGGTCAGGTCAGCACCCCCAGGTCACGAAGTTGGTCGAAAGAGGTCATGTCGCATATCATTCGATTCGGCAGGTCTTCCTGAGTCCATTGGTGGCTTTCCTGACTCGCTAGCTCAATTTGATCGGGAGTTATTGAAGAAAAATGGTGACCCTTGTGACGTCACAGATGACGTCACGCAAGGGCAGCAATGCAAATATGAAGCATAGAACCTTGTAAAGAGTGCATGAAATCATGATTTTATATGTTTGAGATAGTTTCAGATCATTCTCGGCGCCAAAATAACAATTTTTATATTTCCCCATTGACTTATAAGGGTTTAACGTATTAGTTCCTTATAGCTGATGATTTTTTAGGATTTCATCTTGTTCTCCACTCAATTCTGCGTAAGATGCCGGGTTCCGTGTCCACATAGCTTGAGCGTAACGGATGCAGCGACCGCAAACGTAAATCGAGGTCCCGAATTCCCTATTCCCCAGCACAGGCTGCGGCCGCTTTCTGGTCTGCGCAACATGGCGGCACCGTTGGACACCATTTGGCGGCCGATGCGCATTCCACATTATAGAGTTCAGTGGATGAGAGACAAAAGCCGATCTGGGACTATTGAGAGTCCAGTACGGTCGGGTGCTCCCCATGCCGGTCTCTCGGCCCATACAGCGACTTTTTGGGCGGCATCTGACTCTGAGAGCCCTTACGACGGCCTCTGTAGGCCACATTATTGGCTCCAGGGCCCCTCACGACATCCTTTGAGGGCTCCCACGTTGGCTCCACGGGCCGCGCTGGCATCTGAGGTCCCCACGATGGGCTCGAGGGCCCTCAAGCATCATGAAGACCTATAAGGGCCCCACAGTGGTCTCCGAACGCCACCACGGAGGCTTGCTTGGCCGCGCTGGACTATGATGGCCCTAACGATGACCTCTGAAGCCCCTTACGACTACTTTTGAGGGCCCTTACGATGACGTTTGGTGTCTACTGCAGGCCCGAAGGGACTACTGATTCGTTCAGGCGACTCACGTGCCCATTTATGTCACTTATAGTGCAGGGGGCATCTTACCCAACGCCAGGGGGCGTCTTTCCCACCCTGTGGGGTAAGATGCCCCCTTTCACTTCTTCAGGAAAATGCAAAAAACGTTATCATATTTCAAGCACGAAGGTGTGATATTTTTGGAGAAAAATGATGTCGGCTTCCGTTGAAACTACAAGTTTTTGCTTTCCAATCGTCATTTTCGAATAATATATGACATAGTAAAACCCTGGGCATCTTTCCCCACTCTCACCTACTTTACCTTCACTACATTTGATAACAATTCACAATTTTTAAATGTCAAGAATACAAAAACTGAAGCAACAGATAAAAACCATATAAATAATATAAAAGCACTACAGCAATGATAATTAGGGGTTTAAAAATTTCATTTTGCCATTTTACACAAATACTGATTGGTTTGTATGTGATTCATGATACAAAAATAACATACCAATACAGTGTGATTTCCTCAAAACAGCTAGCTTTTACGTGATGGACAGTGGCTCTGTCTTTTTCCCATTCACAAGGCCAAAGGGACAATGCTCGGGGTTACATGAGCAGAGTTAATACGCATTACAAACGGACTACAATGGTGAGCGAATAGGAAAATCCGTTCCTGATACGCATTTACTTGCTCATGTAACCCCGGTAAATTTCTTAGCTTTGAGCACTGAACTCTATTATCGGGGTTACATGAGCACAGTAAATACGTATTTAGCCGCTAATTCGAATTAGGAACGCATTACCGACTCATGTAGCCACCTGCTAGTACGAATCGGCGATCCGATCCGCGGTTACATGAGCAAAGCAAATACGTATCACGATCGGATTCACCGCTAATGCGAATCAGGAGCGTACTACCGACTCATGTATCCACCTGCTAATACGAATCGGCGGTCCGAACAAAATCCGCTGGGAAAGAGGCTTAGAAGCGAATAGGACCAAGATACGTATTACAGGAACTATTTCTTCGCAAAAAGAAACATTAAAATGCAAAATAATAGGTATTTTTTCATTTTCTTCTTTTGAAATAATATTTAAAAAAATATGTCGGTATGTTGTCAAGTTTTCAACAAAAAATTTAGAGAAAACCAAATAGTAAATATCCACATAATTTCAGTTGAAACATTTTTCTGACAGCACTACAGACGAATCAAGAGAGGCAATTGCCCAATGAGTCAAAGCAAGACAACTTTATGTTCAACCTTTTTTTGTTAAGTTAATTGAGAATGTTTTGAGCAGATTAAATGCAAAAAAGACATAAGATAATAAATTTTTAATTTAGTCACCTCTATTGCTACGGAAGTGCGCCACATTTGTATGCTATTCCGTTTGTAATGCGCATCGGGCCGAGAGCCAAACTAGATCCGTTTGACGTCACTGATACGAATTTGCTCATGTAGTCGGTGCTCTGAATGCGTTCTTGGGGAGCTGATGCGAATTAGCTTAGTGCGTATTTGGAACGGATCGCTCATGTAACCGAAACGTCCGAGGCACACGATTCGGGCCGTATTTCACAAGAACTATTCTTTGCTGACTGGAAGCGTCAAAATGCAAAATACTAATCATTTTTTTTTTATTGGCTGCCTCGTAGAAAATAGCAAAAAAAAATGTTGGTATTTTGGTTTAGTCTTTGCATGTGAAATAAAATGAATGAAATATTTTGATAGATAATTTTTTCTGACCACCCTGCTGTCGCTGCATGGCGAATCAGTGCCCACTGACTTAAAACAAGAAAACTTTGTTTTCATTTTTTGATTTCATGTTAATTTTAAATGTTTTTGAGCCTATCAAATGATATAAGTATTTAAAATTTAGCTCAGTCGTCCCGGTAAATGCCGCAACTGCGCCATGACTGTACGCTAATCCTATTCCGTTTGTGATGCGAATTACCGGCCGTCGAGGAGTCAGCCCGGGTGAGCCAAACAAGATCCGTTTGACGTAGATAAAACGAATTAGTCTCATGTAACCGGTGCCGTAGATCCGTTTGTGGGGAGCTGATGCGCATTACCGTAGTGCGTATTTGGAACGGATCGCTCATGTAACCCCGGTATATAATGTGGAATGCGAATCGGCCGCCAGATGGTGTCCAACGGTGCCGCCATGTTGCGCAGACCAGGAAGCGGCCGCCGCCTGTGTTGGGGAATAGGGAATTCGGGACCTCGATTTACGTTTGCGGTCGCTGCATCCGTTACGTTCAAGCTATGTGGACACGGAACCCGGCATCTTACGCAGAATTGAGTGGAGAATAAGATCAAATCCTAAAAAATTCTCAGATACAAGAAACTAATACGTTAAGCCCTTTATAAGTCAATGGGGAAATATGAAAATTGCTATTTTGGCGCCGAGAATGATCTGAAACTATCTCAAGCATATAAAATCATGATTTCATGCACTCCTTGCAAGGTTCTATGCTTCATATTTGCATTGTTGCCCTTGCGTGACGTCATTTGTGACGTCACAAGGGTCACAGTTTTTCTTCAATAACTCCC